CCAGCGAGCTTGCAACATCCAATGCCACTATTCCATTTCCAATGTCATGATGTCAACTGGCTGCCCCGTCGTCTTCACGTAGAGCAACTCAACCACCACGACCACCATGCTCCTCGTCCGAAGCCACTTCACCCTCATGTGCTTGGTGAGGTCGTGCAACACAGGGTTCCTTGAAAGCGCAATGCCACCTAGACTGTCACAGTAGAGTGGGGTAGGTCCTTGCTGCTCCTCTCCCAGCTCAGCCAACAAACGCCACAGCCACACAATCTCTCGTACGGCACGGAAGAGTGCCATGTACTCGGACTCTACCGAGCTCAATGCTTGGTCAACGTGCTTCTTGCCCTCCCAAGCAGTTGGGCCTTCCACACTTGTCATGTCCTCTAATTTTGATGCATAAGAAGCATTTGAGAAGGCAGTGAGGAACAAACGTCCGGGTTCAACGCCATCCGCGCCGTTTTGGCGCCTTTGCACCGACGCCGACTATAGCAGCCCAATTGTCGGTGTTTGGTCAAGGTACTTGGCCACCATCGTCCATTCCAGCTGCTACCTGCTCCTCATTAGGGCATCGAACAACCCTAGCTAGCTGCCCGGTAGCAAAGGCAACGTCCGGTCGGGTGTTTACCGCCGCATACATGAGGCTGCCCACCAACGAGTGAAATCGGCGCCTCTCCTCTTCACCAACGCTCTCCTCCTCTGGTCCCTTCACACACTTGAACCCAGAGGGAAAGGGAGTAGCCACATGGCCTTCACTCTGCCCAAAGTTGGCAGCCAACGCCTCCAGGTTCTTCCGTTGATGCACCCGCGTGCACTGTTTCTCCACATCACGCTCAATGTGAAGCCTGAGGTAGAAATTCACATCACCAAGGGACTTGCACTTGAACTTGTCTTGAAGCTTCAGCATCACCTCCTTCACAAGGTCAGAGGAGGGTGAGAAGATGAGGATGTCATCCACATAGACCACCATGAAGCTCCTCTGCTCCCCCTCGCCAAGCATGAACAAGGAGTGATCGGTCGTTGAGGGAGTGAAGCCGATCTCCTCCAACACTTCGCGCAGCTTCATGTACCATTGCCTAGGGGCCTGCTTCAGCCCATAGAGGGCCTTCTTCAGCTTCCACACTCTGCCGCTACCGTCATCAAACCCCTCTGGCTGCGCCATGAAAATCTCCTCCACAAGGATTCCGTTGAGGAACGCCGTTACGATGTCTAGCTGCTTCACCACCCATCCTTTGATCGCGGCTCCCGCGAGTAGGGTTCGCAGCGTCGTCGGCTTCACCACAGGAGCAAACAGCTCATTGAAGTCCACCTTCTCCTTCTGCTGGTACCCCTTGGCCACCAGCCTAAACTTATAACGCTCGATCTTGTGGCAGCATCCGACTTGATTTTGAAGAGCCACTTGGACATTATCACCGTACGCCCCTCCGGTAGCTCCACCAACTCAAACGTGTCGTTCTCCTCGATGCTCTTCAGCTCACTCTCCATGGCCTTCTTCCACTCCTCAGCATCACTACTCTCCAAGGCTTCCTTGAGAGTTGCTGGTTCTCCCGGCATCTCCACCGGAGAAAAGAACGTGAAGGCACACTCGTCGTAGTCGCTCTACTCGTCGTCTCCTACCATCATTGCAGCTCCAGCCAGGGCTGTCTTGCCCTGCTTTCCCGGCGCATCATAGGTCAGCCTATTGGGGGCTTGAACTTTCCTCTTGACCCTTCCTTCCTCCTCAGCTGCAGGGATTCCCTCCTTAATCTCCGACCAGGGATCGGTCCAGCGATCAGGTCAGCGAGGTGGTGAGTGAAGATTACGCGGCGGCCGTCCGAGCGGAATGGTGACTCGAGGAGGCGGTGGATCTGGCGCCATTTCTTTTTCAGCTGCTTCCAATTTTTCTTGAGTGAGGTCTCCTTCGGTGGGATCACGTCGTTCGGGAGAACCCCACCCGCTGGTCCCCCATCCATGGACTGTGCCTGATGCGCCAGTTGCGGATCCCCATGTGGCTCCTGTGTTGCCGTCATCCCCCCATCCGCCGCGTCATGCTGATTCTTTGTCTCATCTTGCTGCCACGCGGTCTTCATACAGCTTCTGCCTCTTCTCTGCCTTTGCCAAGTTTTCTTGTTGTTTGACGCTTAACTCTCCTTTTGCGTCAGGGTCTCTTCACGCTTTGTCGATGACGTTGCGATAGACGTCGCGGGTATATGGGCCCGGGCGATTTTCCTCGTCCAAAGTTCCAGTGTTAGCTTTGAGGACGAAGCGGAGGGTTTCTGTGCGAGGTTGGGCGCTGTTCAGGCAGTTGTCCGAACGCTTCGTTTTCCTCGCCGAAGATGCGGTGAGTGGTGACAGCGAGCTCTATTTCGTCATGCCTTCTGGTTCTGGTTCTGGTTCTTTTTCTGCTTCTTGGATTGCCGCAAGATCTCTCTCACTTGCCGTGGGTGTATGGCAGGTGGTGCAGAGTCCGCCAGAGTCGATTTGGTGCAGATTTATCTCGAGTGACATTGGAGATGTATCGGACAGACCCCACCATGTGCTGTCCGCAGCAGCTGTCCAGGCACCAGGTACTGTGGTTGTCGGGGTTGTTGCTTAGAAGTAGCGCGAGCAGCGGGGTTACCAAGGTTGCCTTGTATCTTTATTCGTAGAGTTCGTCTTCCCTCCAACCCACCGGTACGTAACGCTGATTGTCATGGGGCGGAGTCTCTCGCAGTTGTATTGGCTGATGACAGTCTTGATCTTCCTCGCCGTACAGGTAATAGTGATCTTCTGTAAGCGGATTGTTCTGCCCTTCCTCAGATTGAATAAGTTCTCCGCGAGGATCTTCCTCTTCATCCGGTTCGACTGTGCGTGGGCCACGCCTTATCGCCATGTTCGCGATGATGTTTCTTGGGGCTCGTGATTGAGATCCTTGTGCTTGCTGTTGTTGTTGTTGCTGTTGTGCAGGAGGGCGTGGAGCTTGATGTTGTTGCTTAGGATGAAACTGACGAGTGTCTTGTCGGCCAACCCAGTTGTTATGGTGAGTGGGATTTGGGTGGCGATGGTTGGATTGGAATCTGCACCGATCCGTTGAATGTCCGACGACTTTGCAGATTCTGCAGTAAAGGCGCCTTGGCTGTCGTCGCTCTTCTCAAATGTCCGAGTAGAAGGCGAGATGCTCTCGGCGCCGCGCGGAGCTTGTCCTGCTCAAGTCCATGCCCTGCGTTCAGTCAGGAGTACGGCGCATAGCGCGGCTTCTGACATAGTTCCTCGTTGTCGGAGTAGCGCTTTGCAGGGCTTCCACTCAGGCCCAAGTCCTTGGAGGATGATGTTGACGAAGATCTCCTCCGAAATGGCACTTCCATTCTTCGTGTTCTGGTCACGGATATTCCGACAGCGGTTAATGTAACTGTTTGCTTTCTCCCCATGCCCCATATTGGTGTCCATGAGTTGTTGCAGGAGCCTAATGGAGGCGTTTGAATCCTTCGGCTGATATACCTCAACGAGGTGCTTCCAGGCTTCCAAGGCTGGAGCAGCGCTATCATGGTAGGAGCGGATGCTGAGTTGGCTTCATATTGCATAACAGTATGCTGTACGCCATGAGGGACTCACTGTAGTATTGAGCCCGGGCGTCTTCGGTGTCTTCCATTGCTTTAGGATAGGAGCCGTCAAAATAGTGGTAGATCAGCGCTTTCTGTAGGAGGAGCTCAAGCTCGAAACTTCATGTGTAGAAGTCATTGCCGTCAAAAGCAGCGGTAGTTTTGATTTTTGAGACACTGAGAAAACGTGCTTGAGCAGACATTATTGCTTCGTCACTTGGACGAGGAGTAGTAGTTGTTGCAGATTTGTCTGAGTCGAGGGAGAAGCCGTGCGCGGCGGTATCACGGCTTTTCGCAGCCGGTTGACCAGGTAAAGCTGGTCGGGAAGTGGTTCCCGCATCGCCTTTGCGCAGTTCTTGGAGTTCTTTCTCCATAGTTGACAGTCGTGCGAATAACTGCTCGAGTGCGGCAGTGCCGATCAAGGTTGTCACCTCATTTCTCACAGCCATGTTGGTTTGTCCTTGGCCACCAGATATGCTTGGCCTTCGGATCTTCCGGCCATCTTGGTCCACTCGCCAGATCTAGGTTCGGCGAATTTTACGGGAGTGAAGTTGCGAAAGATCCCTGAATGGTTCTCATACCTTGTTACGATCCCAAGTGGGAGTTAGCAAAGGATCGCTCAGAGATAATCGCATGTGATATTACAGCGGAAGTGTTGAACTCAGGTCAGAGTGAATGTAAATGACTGAGATGATAATAGCATGCATACATCGAGTTTATATAGGAAATACAAAGGAATGCGAAACGACCTAGACTAGCCATGTACTCTAAGGGGTACATTCACTTATTGCAGCGAAATTCACACTGTGCGGCGTGGGAACCAGTTTCAAATATGTTCCCGCTCTTTTCATTTCAAATGTTTCTGCCTGCATCGGTCTTGGTCAGACGGTTGCTGGTGTCGCTTCGACTCTTATGACGCCTCGACTTCGTACTCGCTAGAGTTTGCTCCTGTAGCAGACAGGAATGCCTTCTCATAAAACATCATATCGTAACAATACTCGATAGAGCCGTCTCCTGAAGCGTACATGTGTGTCTTCTCATTAAGTTTCAGATCAAGGTACAAAAAAAACCTGTCACGTGTGCAAGGCCTCAGCAGGCGCAGTACCAGAGAGAGCAGACTCACTAGCACCTAGTGCAGTAGCCTCTATACCAGGGTCGGATGGCACACACAGGTAACAGTCCCCATCAGCACTAACAGTCAATGCATACATGGCAGCAAGAATAGCATCATAGTCAAGAGCAAAGATATCTATATCGCGCTTGAGCAAGTCTGCCCAGCGCGGGAGCTCAGCCGCATCAGGAAACTGTGCGCGCCAGGCATCATCAAGACGAGAGAAGCAGCGGTACTCAATGCGAAACTTCCCGCAGGGCTGATTAGCGCGGGGACCTGTGCGAATAATATACGGGCAGCGGACCACACCCCCAGACGCCCCATACTGAGCATACCAGTCATGAAGCTGCTAGGGCGTAAGGGTCTCGCGCGAACTGCTGCTGCTGCTGCTGCTGCTGCCTCTGGCCACCACTAGAGCCTCCCCTCTGGAAGGCTCCACCCCGACCGCCACTACTCCTGCCGCCAACGCTCCAGCTGCCGCCACCGCTCCAGCTGCCGCCACCACCACCGCTGCCGCCGCCACCTCCACCGCCCCCACTACCGCCGCCTCCACTGCCTCCACTTCCAGTACTACCGCTGCCGCCGCCACCGACGCCCCCACCCCCGCCACCACTCGCACCACCACCTCCGCCACCACTCGCACCGCCACCTCCGCCACCACAGCCACCCCCGTCGCCCCCACCACCGCCACCACCCGCCGCCACCTCCACCACTCCTGCCTCCTTTGCCCCAGCTACTGTGGCGCTTCCCACTAGGAGCAGAAGCAGCACCGACTTCCTCAGCACCAACGAAGTCAACAGCAGTAGCAGAAGCGTAGGAGGGGGCAAGGGGGGAGGGGGAACACCCCTCAAAGAAGGGAGTGCGAGAAGTGCCACGAGTGTTGATGTAAGGGCCTAATAAACTCAAGCTATTAGGACTTAATCAAACTTAAAACTTCTCCTCGGGGTCACCTCCAAGGGTCCCTGGGTGCCTGGTACAAGACCAGCCCCTATCCTCGGGTCCGAGTTTGTAGAGAGAGGGATCAAGAAGGACTTAGTCAAAACAGCAAGAGTACCTTGAACGTCGCGCAGCGTGCCGTGCAGACCGTCGATCAGATTAAGCTGAGAATTCTCTATATCGAAGCTCGCTCCAAGAGCTTTGAAATAAGCCAAGTTGCCTCGCGAAAAGTTCTGCCATTACAAAGTTATGGCTCGGACAGCGTTTGCCTAGCATTGGAGTGCTAGCGTACTAGCGTTGACTCGGGTAGCATTCCGCCGTCGAACCGCGTAGAAACGAAATTCCAGCGAGGAAGGAATTCGCATGAATCAATTGACTATATTCAGGTACAAACAGAGAAGGAATAAATAGCTCTAGCTAGCAAGGACCTTGGGAATCAACCTGGGAACAACCAGGGATGATCCCAAATAATTCCAAGCAACAGAACCAACCTGGCTGGACAAAACAGCAGGTGGTAGGTTGGAAAACAACCTCTGGTTCTGTTTTTCCAACCTGGGAAAACAACAACCAGGTTCAGGTTCTAAAACCAGAACCTGTTTTGTGTTTGCCCAACCAGCCAAATGCTGGTTCTGCTGGTTTCCCCTGGCCTTGTAGCATGCAGATACAGACAAACAACATCAACCTTCACCTAAATAGTACCCCTATAGTGCTTGCCTTGCTACACTATAGTTAACCAAACAAAGCAGTACAATTTCGAGTTGGATAGAACTGAATCTGCGCAATCAACTCAACCGAACTGCAAAGCTTCCATCTTGGGTGTTGGGTGCAAATGCACATTGCACGACATCCTGCCGTCTGTTTGTACGAGTATGCGTGTGCGAATGCATTTGCGTGTGAATGGTGTGTTCGTGTGTTTGTTTGCTTTCGCAATTTTCGCTTGATGCATTTGCAGGTATTCGCGCAATGTGCGCTTTGGCACAACATTGTATGCGCTATGAACAGTGCAAGCAGGAAGGACGAGCTCGCAAAGGAACCCAAGATGGAAGCTTTGCAGTTCGGTTGAGTTGATTGCGCAGATTCAGTTCTATCCAACTCGAAATTGTACTGTTTTGTTTGGTTAACTATAGTGTAGCAGGGAAGGCACTATAGGGGTACAATTTAGGTGAAGGTTGGATGTTGTTTGTCTGTATCTGCATGCTACAAGGCCAGGGGAAACCAGCGGAACCAGCATTTGGCTGGTTGGGCAAAGACAAAACAGGTTCTGTTTTTAGAACCTGAACCTGGTTGTTGTTTTCCCAGGTTGGAAAAACAGAACCAGAGGTTGTTTACCAACCTACCACCTGCTGTTTTGTCCAGCCAGGTTGGTTCTGTTGCTTGGAATTATTTGGGATCATCCCTGGTTGTTCCCAGGTTGATTCCCAAGGTCCTTGCTAGCTAGAGCTATTTATTCCTTCTCTGTTTGTACCTGAATATAGTCAAATTGATTCAAGCGAATTCCTTCCTCGCTGGAATTTCGTTTCTGCGCTATTCGACGGCGGAATGCTACCCGAGTCAACGCTAGTATGCTAGCACTCCAACGCTAGGCAAACGCTGTCCGAGCCAGAACTTAGTAATGGCAGAACTTTTCGCGAGGCAACTTGGCTCATTTTAAAGCTCTTGGAGCGAGCTTCGATATAGCGAATTCTCAGCTTAATCCGACCGACGGTCTGCACGGCACGCTGCGCGACGTTCAAGGTACTCTTGCTGTTTTGACTAAGTCCTTCTTGATCCCTCTCTCTACAAACTCGGACCCGAGGATAGGGGCTGGTCTTGTACCAGGCACCCAGGGACCCTTGGAGGTGACCTCGAGGAGAGGTTTTAAGTTTGATTAAGTCCTAATAGCTTGAGTTTATTAGGCCCTTACACCAACAAGCTGGTATCAGAGCTGCGTTATAGTGATCCTCGTTATAGGTAGCTATGGCGGGCAACACCTCGGCGGGAGCTGGTGAATCTTCAGCCCAAGATCGTAGCGGCAGCCAAGATTCTGGTCTTTCAGCACCAAGGGGAGCGCGAACAAACCAGGGCTCGCTTGTCAAGGAGGTGCTGAAGAATTTCACCGTCGAGAAGTTCAATGGTGAGGGCTATGATGATTGGGCCTGGAAAATGCAATTATATTTCCGTCAGATCGGTTTGCTGAAACTAATGATTGGGGAGGAGCCTAGACCGAGTGACCCCACGCTGCAGGAAGATTGGGACGAGCGCTCCTCGGCTGGCTACTATTTGATGTCGCAGAGTTTGGAGCTGAACCAGCGTCACCACGTCATGCACCTGCTGCCGGAGGTTGAATGCGGTCCGAAGGCGTGGACCGTGTTGAAGGAGCTGCACGCCCCGACCTCCGTTGTCGCAACGTTGATGCTGGAGAGGGAGCTGTCCGCGTTGCGCCTGAGCGAGGGAGAGCCGGTGCAACCAGTCCTGGACAAGATGCGCGACCTCTACGCGAAGTTGGCGACCGCGGGAATCACCTACCCGGAGCAGACCAAGTGCTTGAAGATGCTCTCGCTGCTGCCGGAATCGTGGCTTCAATTTACGAGCGGATTGAGCCTGCCGCAGAACCAGAGCTTGTGGACGCTCGAGTGGGTGCGGACGAAGATTCTGGAGGAGGACTTCCGTCGCCGCCAACTGAGGGGTGGAGACGACGGCAGCAGCAGCTACGGGATGCAAGGGAGCCGACGTGGCAGAGGACGTGGCTTTGGTGGTGCTGGACGCGGTGCAAAGAAAGACGACGACTCCAACGACCAACAAGGAGGTACCGGTTGGGGTCGCGGTGCGAAATCTGGACGTGGGGGCAAGTCGGGTGCTGGTGGCAAAATGAAAGGGAGTTGCTGGTATTGTGAGAAGTGTTGGTACTTAGTCAAAACAGCAAGAGTACCTTGAACGTCGCGCAGCGTGCCGTGCAGACCGTCGGTCGGATTAAGCTGAGAATTCGCTATATCGAAGCTCGCTCCAAGAGCTTTAAAATGAGCCAAGTTGCCTCGCGAAAAGTTCTGCCATTACTAAGTTACGGCGCAAGTAGGACGAATCGATGCTGGCCTACTATAATCGGCTTAAGGAAGTAGTGGAGGACCTCTAACAACAAGATGAGCAAGGCTTAGTGGGTAAATTCTGTTGGTGTAAGGGCCTAATAAACTCAAGCTATTAGGACTTTATCAAACTTAAAACCTCTCCTCGGGGTCACCTCCAAGGGTCCCTGGGTGCCTGGTACAAGACCAGCCCCTATCCTCGGGTCCGAGTTTGTAGAGAGAGGGATCAAGAAGGACTTAGTCAAAACAGCAAGAGTACCTTGAACGTCGCGCAGCGTGCCGTGCAGACCGTCGATCGGATTAAGCTGAGAATTCGCTATATCGAAGCTCGCTCCAAGAGCTTTAAAATGAGCCAAGTTGCCTCACGAAAAGTTCTGCCATTACTAAGTTATGGCTCGGACAGCGTTTGCCTAGCGTTGGAGTGCTAGCATACTAGCGTTGACTCGGGTAGCATTCCGCCGTCGGATAGCGCAGAAACGAAATTCCAGCGAGGAAGGAATTCGCTTGAATCAATTTGACTATATTCAGGTACAAACAGAGAAGGATTAAATAGTTCTAGCTAGCAAGGACCTTGGGAATCAACCTGGGAACAACCAGGGATGATCCCAAATAATTCCAAGCAACAGAACCAACCTGGCTGGACAAAATAGCAGGTGGTAGGTTGGTAAACAACCTCTGGTTCTGTTTTTCCAACCTGGGAAAACAACAACCAGGTTCAGGTTCTAAAAACAGAACCTGTTTTGTCTTTGCCCAACCAGCCAAATGCTGGTTCCGCTGGTTTCCCCTGGCCTTGTAGCATGCAGATACAGACAAACAACATCCAACCTTCACCTAAATTGTACCCCTATAGTGCCTTCCCTACTACACTATAGTTAACCAAACAAAACAGTACAATTCCGAGTTGGATAGAACTGAATCTGCGCAATCAACTCAACCGAACTGCAAAGCTTCCATCTTGGGTTCCTTTGCGAGCTCGTCCTTCCTGCTTGCACTGTTCATAGCGCATACAATGTTGTGCCAAAGCGCACATTGCGCGAGTACCTGCAAATGCATCAAGCGAAAAATGCAAAAGCAAACAAACACACGAACACACCATTCACACGCAAATGCATTCGCACACGCATACTCGTACAAACAGACGGCAGGATGTCGTGCAATGTGCATTTGCACCCAACACACTCCCCCTCAGCCTGCCGGCTGCATCCCCGTCATTCCATGCTAGTTCATGCTCATTCCACTCATGCGCACACAACGCCAATGAGGCTCATCCGCAAGCCTCTTGGTGAGAAAGTCTGCTGGCTGCTGGTGAGTCTTGATGTAGATCGGATGCACCGTCCCCCTCTTCACCTCCTTACGCAGCCAGTGCCACTTGATACGCATGTGCTTGTTCAGCCCATGAAGCACAGCGTTTCTGGCCATCCCAAGAGCCCCCTTGCTATCACAAAACAGCGGCGTAGCAACTTTCTGCTCCTGGCCAATCTCCTCTAACAGCCTCCTCAGCCAAATCACCTCCTTCACCCCATGGAACATCGCCATGTACTCTGATTCTACGGAAGAGAGTGCCGTCTCCGTCTGCTTCTTGGACCTCCAACTAACAGGTCCTCCCCCAACTACGCAGATGTATCCTCCCACAGATGAGGAATCCTCCTTCTCAGAAGCCCACGTAGCATCGGTAAAGCAAGTGAGAAATAGCTTGCCTTCTCCAAGCCTCTCCCCCTTCTCTTTCAGCACCTCCACCCCTTTCTGCTTCACCTGTGCAGATGCGGAGTATTGAACTCCAATGCTTGGGTGAGAGTTCAGGTACTTCACCACACGCTCAGCTGCATCCACCTGCTCCTCTGATGGATTCTGCACCACCCTAGCCAGCTGCCCAACCGAGAAAGAGATGTCGGGCCTCGTGTGAACTGCTGCGTACAAGAGGCTGCCCACCAAGGACTGAAATTGCTGCTGCTCTTCAGCTTCAACCCCTTCATCCTCTGCAGCCTTCACAAGCTTGAATTCTGCTGGCAGGGGAGTTGCAACCTTGCGCTCATTCTCAATCCCATACTTCTCCCCCAGCTCCTTGATGAACTTCTCCTGGTGCAGCTTCAACCACCTGTGATCTGGATCCCTCTCCACGTGCATCCCGAGGTAGTACTTTACCTCCCCAAAGTTCTTGCACTTGAAGTTTTCCATCAGTTGCTGCTGCACTTTCTGGATCTCCTTCACACCTGCTGCTTCTCTCCTCCCTCGGGTCCAGCAGCTCCACTAGTGC